AGTTTATAGACCTGTCCATCAGTTTAAGAACCCCAGCAGGTTATATTATAATAAAATTTCAGCATTGAGTTGTAATTGAATTAGTTGGTTATTTTAATTCCAGTTGGATTAAGAAACAGTAATTTATAAAAGTCAAACTTTAAACTTTGACGTACCTTGCATCTCCATGGCCAATCCGAATCGCCATAATTATAGGTGATTTCCTCTCCTGGACTTATACTCTTTAAAGCAAACAAGCACAGACAGGGTTTCCCATCCACCCTTAGGTTCTTCATTGTTGCTTTGGATTAATATGGTTATCATTTACCAGTCTTCCAAGTGACCCATCCTCCTTTGTTGCATCAATGCTACAAGCATATAATACTTTACTTTATGACGGAACAGTACACTATACCCTATTCCAAGTAAACAAGAGATAGATTTAGGTTACCACATTTAATAAAGCTTCCGAAAATATACATCAGTAAAAGTAACACAGAATATAATTTGAAAATATGTCCATTACTGTCACGTATAAGCAATAAGGAGATCGGAGATCCTGAAGTGCAGGGATCAGGAAGGTTTATTATGGGGATCAGGACCCTCCCCCAGATGGTGAGGGACAGGACAGGTGTCCTGAGTCGGAACGCCCGCTTGGTGATGCGGAGCAGAGGAGTAGAATCGACGCGCTGGAATCGTAGTCGGGGTGCGTTGTCCGGGGTCGTTGCCAAGGGGATCCGTCCGACGAAAAGAGACAAGAACAGGGAACACGAGGCTGGAGATGACGACCGTGGCGGGGCAGGTAAGTCATGGACGGGAACGGGTCTGTGGAGGGAAGTTAAGGAGGCAAGGGTAGCACACCAGGACGACAGGTAAGGCAAGGGTAAACGGGAGACAGGTAAATCGCTCGGTAAGGCACGGTAACATCGGCTCAATACTTTGCAACGAGTGATGACGCTTGTTCTGCTTTTAAAACCGGGTTAATCTGCTGTTGATGCAGTGCACCTGTCTGACCCCGCCCCTGTGGGCGTGACAGTACCCCCCCCCGACGGCCGCCTCCCAGAGGCCGACGACGCTTGCGAGGGCGACCCCGCGGATGGGGGGCTGGCTTCTCCGGGTGTGCCTGGTGGAACGCCTCCCTCAGGGTCGGATCCGACACGGAGGCAGCAGGAACCCAACAGCTTTCATCCGGGTCGGACCCTGCCCAGTCCACGAGGTATTGGAGCATGCTGCGGCATCTGCGGGAGTCTAGTATGGAGTGGACCTAAGAGGAGGGACCCTCCTCCGCGATGGGAAGAAGCGGCTCCTCGGGGGTCTCCGTGTTGGGACGCAGGCTACTGTGTTTGACAGGTTTTAACAGGGAAACATGAAAAGTCGGACAGATTCGATATATACGGGGAAGTTGCAGCCTCACCGTCACAGGTCCTAGTCTCCGTAAGATCTTGAATGGTCCAATATACCGAGCCGTAAATTTGCGACAGCCGGGGATACGGAGGTTCTTGGTAGATAACCATACCATTTGTCCTGGTCGATAGGGGAACCCCGGTCGGCGATGTTTGTCAGCCTGAACCTTGTGGCGGGCAGATTGAGTGCGCAAAGCGGTCTGGATGTGTCGCCACGCCTGTCTGCTGTCCCGGTACCACGCTTCCACATGAGGTACGGGTCCCGAAGGGGCGTCCCAGGGGAACAGGGGAGGCTGAAACCCCAGCACACACTGGAAGGGAGTTAACTTGAAAAGACCATCAGCCCGGGAGACGAGAAGCCCACAAGAAACCCTCCGGTGAAGGCCCAGCTGAACAGAGAACAGCACCCAAGACAAAGCTTCACCAGGAGAGAGAATCCAGAGGGGCTCCACTCCACTGCTCCAAACGCCGCGCCTTCCTGAGTGCCATCAACTCAGCAGCTCTGCCATCAACTGCCAAGACCCCCCCCACTCTTCAACCAAGTAAACCAACTTCCTTTCATTCTAACAACTTAAGCTGTTCTGTTAACCTGCTATAAGACTTTAGGGTCGTGTTCCACAAACTGTGCTTGCTTTGCAGAACAGTATTTCCCATTTAAGGTTGCTCATTTAAATCCGGTCATTGCATTTTCATAATTACATCGTTTGTTTTATTCCGTTATTTCGTGTTTGTTGTTTGTGTTAGGTGTAATGTCTGTCTTATGTTAGTTGTAGTGTTAGCTAGGAATAAATGCA